CACAGTCTCTTTAAAGCCCCTGTATCTGGGAAAAGTGGCGCATTTTCTTCCCTCCTCCTACAAAAAAACCCTCCTTACCCCACCTCTAACTTCCGGTATGCGACAAAGGCGCCCTCTGGATGTTCCCAAGCGTTTTGATGTCTCGGTCAGCTCAAGCGGCGCGATGCCAGGCGTGTGGACTTCTCTCGTGATTTAAGTATGGCAATGACCTCATTTCGAGCCCGCATTCGCATCCGGTCGCCCTGAAGCCGCCCTGAAAGCTGTTCGTACAACCGTGGATTCCAAAATTGCTTTGGATAATCGTCCCAATCGGCCCTACCGAGTTGCGTTATCGGTCAGTGTCTCGTGGGTACCTACCTGTCCGCCCCTTCGGCTTCACCCCGCAGGGGGCACCTGTGAGAGCAGGTGTTTAGAAAGTGGCGTCACCACGGACCCCCGAGCTCCGCAGGGGGCGCCTCCACCTTAGGTGCTAGGTGCTTGCTTAGTAGCGTCGCCACGAACCCCAGCCTCGTGGGCCACCATACCCGCACGCAGGGGGCACCTGCTTTAGTGAGTGCTTGGTGAGTGGCGTCACTACGAACCCCGAGCCATGTGGATTCGCCCACCCATGCCTAGTTGTGCGTGGCTTCACCCGTGTCCAGGGAAAATGGAATCCTGGTGGTTGAGCTGAGTCCGGGGTACGTTTGAACCCTCCGGACCCTCCGGGCAAGGAAATATACAGCTTCGGCCCCTGCTTCTCGAAGACGGGTGTCCTTGCTTGGCCCGACCAGGATGATTCAGTCGGTCGCCTCTCTTCTCCTCTCCTACCTTTTCCTTTTCTCTCTTTCTGTCCTTCTTTCCTCTTTCACCTTCTCTGGCGGCGAGGGCTAACCTCGGCTGGAGACAGAACTGTCTCTAGACTCACACTCGGTTATAGTTTCTTGGTAGCGCTGGTGGCGTAATTGGGCCAGTGAAGTCATTCTTGTTATGGCACATTATCGATCCACTTGTTGGGCTCGGTAGTGGGCGGTGTGCCACAGATTCTGAACACCTTCCCATCTCTATGGGTTCTAAGCAAAAGCTTAGAAACCATAAAGCTTCTAAGCCTCCTAAAATAGTCCGCACCGAAGTCCTTTCAACGTTCCTGAACAAAGACAACTAAAATTCCAAGTGACTACTTTGCCAGGTTTTTTGTACTGCACTCTGAAGACGCTGCTAAACCCCTGTCCAAGGTGTCTGTCTCCCTTTATTGTTGCTTTAGTTCTTCAAAGCACACTAGGAGGGAAATACGAAGCTAAGAAGCTTGTTTCCGGCGACCTACATGTGGAGGTATTTCAAAAATTTCAGGCCACAGCTCTGCTGAATATCCAAACTGCCCACGATCTCAAAGTGACTGTTTCTCCTCACCACACACTAAACACCATCCGCGGTGTGATACAGAGGATAATCTGGCAGACAGATCCAAAGAAGAATTTACAGAGGTCCTGCAGGCTCAAGCTGTTGTTGCCGCAAAACGAGTCAAAATCCGACGGGATGGCGTAAAACGGCCCACTAGACACATAATTTTAACCTTCGAGAGAAATACACTTCTGCCTTCAGTAAATGCAGGCTACATCAATTGCAGAGTGCGGCCGTAAATTCCGAATCCTCTCCGCTGCTTCCGCTTCCAGCGCTATGGTCATGGTTCGCCCGCTTGCCGTGGTCGTGAGACCTGTGCCACATACAGTGACAAAGACCACCCTGTTGATGCTTGCAGAGCAAACTACAAGTGTGCCAACTGTGATGGTGACCACCCTGCATACTCAAGGGCTTGTGCCCACTTCAATAAAGTAAAAAGGAAATTCTTGCGTTCAAGGTGGAGGAGAACATTCGTTATCAGGATGTGAAGCGTCGTCTCTCTGCTTTTCAAAGAAGCTATTTTGCCGAGGTGGTGTCCAGCAGGGGACCTGCACCATCCAAGGCGTCAGTGGCAACCGAGGTGTTTTTTTTTCGGACCATGGGAAACCGCTGCAGTCCCCCACTTCCAGGCTGAAGATTTTTCTGCCAGGGCATTCACTCTCGGCCGCAAAAGCAGCTGACACACCCTGTGGTACCAATGACCCTGGTGCCCAATAACAGGCCGAAGTTGAGCTAGTTGGTACATAATGCAAAAGGAAACGGCCAGCTGGAACGAAAGGGACAAAAAAACAGACAAGGAGAAACAGAGACATACACACCGCTGGTAGTGCCACTGAGGCGATGGAGGCGACTACATCGCCCCTTCCTCCTGCGCGGTCCCCCCAGGCAGGGGAGCGAGCCCCTCGCTCTACATGTCTGGGTAGGATTTCACCGAGGAAGCAGCACGTTTCACGTGCAGTTGACGACACAAACGGGGTAGTGGGTTGGCCCAGTACATCGACCCCCCCCCCCCCCCCCCCCAGGGCAAGGCAGAGGCCGGGGGTTGCCCCCACGGTCGTTTGATAGCTCTCAGGCTCCTGGCAGGCATGGGCGTACCAACCGGGGGGGGGGGGGGGCAAGGGGGGCGCTTGCCCCCCCAGTTCTCAGAGTGGGGGGCTAGGCATGTGCTTTGCCCCCCCCCCCTCCAGAAAAAGCTGCCACTGGGCACGGCAAACACTACCCGTCGGCGCCACATGGATACAAAGAGCACCGGGGGGGGGGGGGGGGGGGGGGGGTCTGGGTCTGGTTTTTCTCCCATTACTCAAAAACAAGTTGGTACGCCACTGCTGGCAGGCATCTCAAGAATGCTCTGGATGCAGAGGTGACAGCTGATGCTGGCACCCTTTCTGCTACAGAAACTGAGCTGGAGGAGATAGAGTGGCAGACAGCAAATCGAAAACAGAAAGGGAAAAATCTAGTACTTCTTCCAAAATGATTATGCCATTCCTACCCCTTTCTTCCTCTTCGGCTCTTTCTTTCATAGGGGCATTTCCGTAAAGAATGACCGCAATCATTCAGTGGAACTGTCGTGGTCTTTTGAGGAACACTGACGATGTGGAGTTTCTTTTGGAAGAACATCGGTCACAAGCTATATGTCTGCAAGAAACTCATCTCAATGCAAGTCGTAGAAATTTTCTTAGGCGGTATTTCATTTTAAGAAAAGATAGAGACTACTTGAACTATTTGAGCATGTTGGTGCTTTTTAAACATTTAAAAAGTGGAGACACAGAAGGAATTGTCCTGTCTGTAGCGTCCCCTATGTGTCTCCACCTTTTAAATGTTTATAGAGACTACGCATCTGTTTCTGCGGGAGGGGTTGCAGTGATTGTTCTCAAGCACATTCCCTGCTGTGCGGTCGCTTAGCCACTGGACTGGAGGCAGCTGCGGTGCGCCTCCTCCTTCACAAAGTGGTCACTGTGTGTTCCTTGCACATACCTCCCTCTTTTTCTTTTACATTAAGTGATTTTAATGCTCTTTTATTCCAACTCCCGGAGCCTTTTCTTTTATTTGGAGATTTTAATGCCCAGATTTGTCTACGAGGTAGCGACCACGTTGACGCCCGTGGTCGAATGATAGAATCAATTTAAATGTCTCATCCACTTTGCCTTTTTAACACGGGAGAACCGACCTATTTTAGCTCATCATCACTATTGTCCTCGTGTATTGATCTTTCCATCGGTACCGCTTCCATTTTTACTTCTTTTACATGGGTCGCAGATACTAACCCACATAGAAGCGATCACTTTCCAATTTTTTTTTTAAAAAAACATCCCCCTAAGTGCGTGCCGATGCGGACTTACCATTGAAAGTTCGAGAAAGCAGATTGGTTTATTTTTACCGAGGTAACGTATCTTGCGTGTACAGAGCGCGACACTGCTAGCGCGAACAAGCGATCGCCGGTTTTTCCAGTTTTCCTCTTTCACACCAAGGGATGTCATCCAAGTTATTATTGCAACAGAAAGAGCTCATTGAGCTCTATAATGTAAGCGATAATATTTTGCGCTCGCTAATACTATTTAGAAGCAAAATGCGAAAATGCGCCGATGTCGTGTTCGTGCTAACAGTGTCGCGATGTGTACATCATTTGATAAAATCTCGGTGGACCAATTGTTACAGAACTGTTAAGTGAGACTATTTTTTATGTAGCATCTTTTGCTATTCTTATGACTTCCACGCATGTCCCTTGGAGAGCCAAGCCGTGGTGGATAGAGGAGTGTTCTGAACTGCGAAAATAACAAAACAGAGATAGGGTATTTTTCGACGTTACCCCACGCAGAAGAATCTCCTCGCGCTTAAATATATGAAAGCTCGGTCAAGATACAATCGCCGCCAGTCTAAGCGAGAAAGTTTCCAGGGGTACCCTCTTCAACTAATAGTACTACAACACTAAAAGAACTCTGGGATAAAGTTCGGATCGAGGGGCGATACTATGCTTTCGCAGTCCCGCTTCTCCCACAATGGGGTCTTTCCAGAGAACCCAGAGGTGCAGGCCAATCTTCTTGGTCAGCATTTCGCTCGTGTATCAAGTTCCGAAAACTCTTCCTCCTCATTTCTCAGATACAAAAAGCGAGCGGAAGCGCATCCTCAGGTGGTGTTTGTGAGGATTACAATCAACTCCTCACGCAGCGCGAACAGGAAAGGCACCTTTGCTGAACAAAGCCTTCAGCTTCTGGACCTGATGGTATACACTACCGGACGCTTACGCACCTTCATCCTTCTACACTACTCCTTATTCTGTACCTCTTCAATCGCGTCTGACAAGAGGGCAGATTCCCACTGGCATGAAAGGTAGCCACAGTCACACCACTTCTGAAACCCGGGAAGGATGCTTCCTCTGCATCTAGCTACCGCACAATTGCCCTCAGTAGTTGCCTAAGCAAGACATTTGAACGCATCATTAATAAAATGCTCATGTACTTTTTAGAAAAACAAAACATTTCAGATAAGAATCAATGTGGGTTCCATTCCTGCCATTCCACACTTGACCATTTGGTGCGTCTAGGCTTTGCTCTAAGCAAAGCTTAAACGGAAGTCCTGGTAAAGACTTAAGTTGAGCTAGTTGGTACATATTCATGATGCGTCAGCTTGAACTTACAGAAGTACTTACAAAAGAGTACTAAAGCAAAGTTTTTAGTCAGCTGTTATCTATTGTCGTCTCCTTTCTACGTCTATCACTGTAAGTTCAAGCTGACGCATCACTAACCGTCCTGGTAAACCCGGGAACTTCTACACCGGCCAATCACCTGCTCAACCTCTGGGCTAGCCGCCTACAAACGCTGTAGGGGTACCGATGGAGCAAGACGCTGCAGCTCAAAATTAGTCTCAAACGAGCTACGGGTAGGCGACCCAGTAAACCAAGGAGCTCGGGCGCAAGAGGCGGAGGACCCACTGCGGGACCTTCAACGAACGCACCCGGCTGGAAAGAGCTCCGAGAACCGATAAAGGACTGGATGGAAAAAAAGCGCAAACCAAGAAATGCAGTGCAGATCCTGGCCCTCAAGCTCAATATCAGCGAAGCAGAAATGCGACCAGGGCTGGAGAACTATACTTCCCCCAGGACGCAACCACCACAAGCCAGAGACCGGTAACGACATCCACACGCACGCCACGAGAAGAAAGAATGAACGACCAACCCAATATGGGAGAACTAATCAAAGCACTGCAAAGCGAAAGACCCACAGTGCGCCTGGATCTGATGTTATTACATACCAAGCCCTCAGAAACCCACCGGAAGAACCGAAACAGAAACTCTTGGACAAATATAATCGGGTATGGGAAGGCGGTGGACTACTGAGAGTCTGGAAACTCTCGTGGGTCACCCCCTTACACAAGCCCGGCAAACGGCTGGATCACATTGATAATCTGAAACCGCTATCTCTAACATCTAATATTTGCAAGACGATGGACAAAATCGTGCTCGTGAGGATCCAGTGGTATCACGGAAAAGCATGAGCATCTCGATCCCCTCCAAACGGGCTTCCGCGAATCTATGGAGACCTAGGACGGTCTTAGGTTGCTCCACGAGGAGGTGCCGGCCGAAAAGAACAAACGAGACCTACGGCTTCTGGTCGCCCTAGACAAATGCAAAGCGTTCGATTCAGTACCACACTGGGCAGTCGTCCAAGGGACGGAAGCATTCAACACCCCCGGAAGACCTCTGAACTTTATACGGGACTTGCTGCGCGACAGGAGGTTCCAGGTGAAGATATATGAGGCACCATGCGTGATGCGGCACGCATCTAGGAACATCATTGGCGTCTAAAAAGTTGCGTGAGGATAATGACGCCTGCATGGAGGCGCACACGTGGCTTGGGGAAATCCCGAATTCTGGACTAATTTATGTGAAGCTGTATTCAAACTTTTTATGACGGCTACTTAATATTCGTAGCTTTGCATCATCGCGTCAGTTTAAGGACTTTTGAGCATTTTAAATACTTGTTCCCCATTCCAGAATGTTTATGCTTCCACTATGTTTCCAGTATTCCACTGCAGAGATTTTATATTTCTTCACAAAGTTTTACAAGGAGGAAGTGAAACGGAAGTCCTAAACGGAGGTCCTGGTAAAGACTTAAGTTGAGCTAGTTGGTACATATTCGTGATGCGTCAGCTTGAACTTACACAAGTACTTACAAAAGAGTACTAAAGCAAAGTTTTTAGTCAGCTGTTATCTATTGTCGTCTCCTTTCTACGTCTATCACTGTAAGTTCAAGCTGACACATCACTAACCGTCCTGGTAAACCCGGGAACTTCTACACCGGCCAATCACCTGCTCAACCTCTGGGCTAGCCGCCTACAAACGCTGTAGGGGTACCGATGGAGCAAGACGCTGCAGCTCAAAATTAGTCTCAAACGAGCCACGGGTAGGCGACCCAGTAACCAAGGAGCTCGGGCGCGAGAGGCGGAGGACCCACTGCGGGACCTTCAACGAACGCACCGGGCTGAAAAGAGCTCCGTGAACCGATAAAGGACTGGACGGAAAAAAAGCGCAAACCAAGAAATGCAGTGCAGATCCTGGCCCTCAAGCCAAATATCAGCGAAGCAGAAATGCCACCAGGGCTGGAGAACTATACTTCCCCCAGGACGAAACCACCGCAAGCCACAGACCGGTAACGACATACACACGCACGCCACGAGAAGAAAGAATGAACGACCAACTCAATATGGGAGAACTAATCAAATCACTGCAAAGCGAAAGACCCACAGTGCGCCTGGATCTGATGTTATTACGTACCAAGCCCTCAGAAACCCACCGGAGGAGCCGAAACAGAAACTCTTGGACAAATATAATCGAGTATGGGAAGGCGGTGGACTACAGAGAGTCTGGAAACTCTCGTGGGTCACCCCCTTACACAAGCCCGGCAAACGGCTGGATCACATTGATAATCTGAAACCGCTATCTCTAACACCTAATATTTGCAAGACGATGGACAAAATCGTGCTCGGGAGGATCCAGTGGTATCACGGAAAAGCATTAGCATCTCGATCCCCTCCAAACGGGCTTCCACGAATCTATGGAGACCTAGGACGGTGTTGCTCCACGAGGAGGTGCCGGCCGAAAAGAACAAACGAGACCTACGGCTTCTGGTCGCCCTAGACAAATGCAAAGCGTTCGATTCAGTACCACACTGGGCAGTCGTCCAAGGGACGGAAGCATTCAACACCCCCGGAAGACCTCTGAACTTTATACGGGACTTGCTGCGCGACAGGAGGTTCCAGGTGAAGATATATGAGGCACCATGCGTGATGCGGCACGCATCTATGAACATCATTGGCGTCTAAAAAGTTGCGTGAGGATAATGACGCCTGCATGGAGGCGCACACGTGGCTTGGGGAAATCCCGAATTCTGGACTAATTTATGTGAAGCTGTATTCAAACTTTTTATGACGGCTACTTAATATTCGTAGCTTTGCATCATCGCGTCAATTTAACGACTTTTGAGCATTTTAAATACTTGTTCCCCATTCCAGAATGTTTATGCTTCCACTATGTTTCCAGTATTTCACTGCAGAGATTTTATATTTCTTCACAAAGTTGTACAAGGAGGAAGTGAATTCAATGGATTTGCTGCGTTATTTAGACTTTTTTCGTGTTCTGTCAAGGGTCAGCAGCAATATGCTAACATTTTACTCATCTTGTATGTTTTCTGTGTCTCCTTTATCGATATATCAGTTATCATTTAATACGGCCCATCCTGACATTTTTCTTTGTCCTTATCAGTTTACGTTTCATGTGCGAAGGTGGATGTCTTCGAACTACCTTTTGTAAGGCGAGTTTTGGGTAGCCATTTCAGTTTCAGTTATCTATTGTTTATATTTTTATTGTAACGTGTATTTTCTAGTTTGATATAGTCCTGTGTCTGAGTTTGCTTTGTGTGCACCACAGTATAAACTGTAAAGTTGTTTGTGGGCAGAAAAAAATAGAGTAATTATATTAATATTATTAAAAAATGTTTCACCTAATGAAACTCAATTCCACAAATATTTCCAGCTTGCCCCACTGAAAGGTTTGGCGAATACTGCCGTAAACGATGTCGCTGTACCAACGGTGGGATCTGCGATCAAGCGACTGGAACTTGCAGTTGCCCCGACGGTTTTATGGGCACTACTTGTGAACAGGGTAAGAAAAGACAACCACATGGTTTGACTTATTTGTCTGCAACACTGGCTCGTATATCAAATTTTATGGTTTGAAATGCTATACACCAACTCATGTTTACAAACAATCCGGAGCGCCCCTAGCGGACGCCATCGGCGCCGCGCATGCGCGGTGGATGGTGGGCAAGAAGTTCGCCGTCGCCCATAAACAAACCATTGAATTGCGTTGTTGTCGGCGTTGGTGGGAGTCCCCGTGCTCTTTTTCGCGTTGGAATTGTTGATTCTACGTCCTCCTAACAATGTCTGACTACTTGTGCGGCTTCAGCAAAACTATCGAGGCAAAACTTTGCGTGGATAATGTGACGTGCGGCGATTCATTTCACGTGGACGCCGCGGAATGGGCGCTAAAACCTGGCTCCCACGATGAGATTCTGCTCGCTATTTTCAGTCGCGACTTCGCTCGGACTGCAAAAGCGTGGACCGTAGCTGAGATGGTGGACGTCGATACTGAAAACCGCAAGTAGGATCGGGCATTAGAAGTCGGTGATGGCCACTGGTAACAATGATCAACATCTTCTTGTATCTGTTTACACTTAGCCCTATACTTACCCCAACCAACCTTCAAAACTGTTTTGAGGCCTGCACTTAGTTCTTTCACAACGTTTGGTTTCACAACGTTTGGTTTACGGGCCGCTGTCGTTTGAACGAGATGACGACAAAAAGCAGCCAAGTTTGAAAGAGCAGACGACAGTTCGAACGCATGCGCAATGGAGTACGGGCAAGAAGCACCGCGTCCCGCGTCAACAAACCATTCGATTGTCACGTTTTCGGCATTTGTGTGAGTCTGCATACTCTTTTTCGGGTTGGAATTGTCGATTCTACGTCGTCATCGCAATGTCTTTCTAACCACTTTAATCGCCTGAGCGAAATTATCGGTTCTCGTTACGCCGCTAAACTTTCCGTAAATAATTTGACGTGCGGCGATTCATTCGCGTGAACGCCGCAGAATGGACGCCAAAACCATGGTGAGATTCTTCTAGCTATTTTCGGACGTGACGTCGCTCGTGCTGCAAAAGTGTAGAAGGTAGCGGCGATGATCGACGTCGATATTGAAAATCGGAAACGGGAACAAACCAAGCGAAACAAGTCGGTGATGGCCACCGGTACCAATGATCAACATCTTGTATCTACTGTTTACATCGAGCCTACTTAAGTCTTTTGAGGCCTGCAATTACTTCTTATTGCAATTACCGGGTCAACGTTTGGTCTATGGGCCGCTTTTGTTTGAACTAGCAGACGACAAAAAGCAGACAAGTTTGAAAAAGCAGACGAAAGTTCGAACGATCAGGCGGCCGTGTGAATTTGAAGACGCACTGAACCCGTGGGTGGTCCGGACAACTTGGCGGTTTTCTCTCGTTTATGTGGAACAAAGCAAATACATCTGGCGACCACAAAGTGTTGCCCGCACACGCAATCGTAGTTTGACAGCGTCTGGTTTGCCCTTTTCACGGCTACTATCCACGTTCTCGGACGAACGGAGGGTGCAAGAACACATGAAAACTGATCTTCAAACCTTTCCAGACTCTCTTGGTAAAGCCCCCGTCGCAGCATTTTGACGAGAAGGCAGGTTTTTTGTCTCGTTTCTTCCAAAGGAACACAGGAATGCATGTCTGGCACGGCGACTTCTGCCCACCGCCCCAGACCGGAAGTGCGTTCGGCGCGCCACCACCGCGGCGTGACGTAGGAGAGTTAAAGACTTGTTTTCAAAAAGTCGCGATGGACACTAATGCAATCCGCGCAATTAAGTTTTACGGCCAGGGGGACACAAGCTACAATAAGTTAGTTACCTTAAGCTTTTAAATTCCCACTTTAATTAGGGAAGATAAACGCATTCTTCCAATTATAAATTCTTCTGAACGTCATGCAAACCACTAGGTCAATCAATTTTAGAAAGACTAGCGCGTGGGGAACGCGGTGGTGCGCTATGCGTAGCGCAAGTATCGTCTGCTACTTTTGCACGGGTTGTGGTGACGTCAGAACGCCAAGCTCTGATTGGCGCTGATTGAAGGATAGTGGGTAGATTTCGAAGCAAGCTGCCTTGAGGTCTACCCCCTATCCTTCTGTCAGAGCCAATCAGAGTTCGGCATTCTGACATATCACCACAACCCCTGCAAAAGAAGCAGACGAACGAGGCGCCCGCGCGCTTTTTCTCTTTCTTATCATCAGCGTTTTCGCCCCGCCAGCTTTGCGCCTATTGCGCGAGTGCAAACTTTAGCGCACTACCGCGCTTCCCGCACGCCCGAAGACTTTCTAAAATTGACTCATTTTGTGGTTTTCAATGACGCTTCGGGTCGATTCCTAATGGACCTTTTCCACATACCGATGACATCAGGCGGTGGCTGCATGAACTAAAAATCGAGAAAGTGACCTACCTGCGCTACCAATCGATAATGGGAGCTACGCTACCAGTTTTTCACTTTCTGAGCTGCGGGGATTTCTCCACGGCACGCGCATTCCGCGACGAAAACGTCACGCTTTGCGATGTGCAAAAGCCTCGCGTTTTTGTCTCGTGATGCGCGCGTGCCGGGGAGAAATCCCCGGGATTTCTCCCCGACATGCGCATTCTGCGACAAAAACGTTAAGCTTGAGGGGCATCCGTGACGTCCACCCAAACGTCGTGTTTTCTTTCCGTCCACTTTCTTTTCTTGTGTAACACAGTTATATACATGCTGCAATTACGTGTTCTACTCGCAGATCCACAGCCTCCTTCCGAATTTCCTCGATTTTTCGTGCCGACTTCCGCCGCTTGGCATCGGGCGCTCGCGCAAGCGCAGAACGCTCCTCGGAAAAAGTTCATTGCAACCATGTATTTATCTTCGCTAATTAGCAAGTTGGTTAAGGAATTTTAGGTTATGAACCGACTGATCGTGACAAAGAGCCTCCTATACTATGTCCTCCCGTCCGTATAACTCACCTGCGCAGACCGTATTGGTGTAGCTTTCGCAGCTTTTTCTTTAGAAACAGTTTGTAAATGCTTAAAAACACACCACGCATCACGGAAACCCCTACTCCCAGAAATTGACCTGTCCCTGCGTCCGCAGACATCGCAGGGTGGAACGTGACGCCGCGGGAGTCGCGGCGGCGGCGTGACCTTACGTGACGTCATGTAACATCACTTTACATCGCGTAACGGTCACATGCCACAAACGTCACGTTACTTTATGAGACGTCTCGAGAAACAAACGTTACGCCATGTTGGGTTATGTCTTTCGGGCGCCTCAACACGCGCTCCTTGCCTTCTCCTGTGCTTCGGCGCTCGCGCTCGCTCGAGGAGACACCGAAGCATTGTCGAAGGCGGGAACTTTGAATAACTGAAGCTCCACCCTGCTGTTCTCAGCTTGTCGGGGGCAACACTTCATGCGGAAGCGCAGCATGGATGAAAAGCAAGTTTCCAATGCAAAGAAGTTTCCGACCAGCCAAAATAAGCTGGATAATTTTCGAATCTGTATTTAAAGGGGCGGTGCAACGATTTTTGGACTTCGGTCAAAGATTTCTGGAAGTTGCCCCCTGACACTTATGAAGTAAAGAACAGAAAACCGATTTCGCCTGCGTGTCCTAGTTGTTGTGTAAAAAAAAGATAAAGATTGGCATTTCGGGCACCCCTCAACTCACTCCCAGTCCTCAGGGTCACACCTGGTCGCACTCCCAGTGACGTCATTCGGAGTGCCGTGTAGCTTCCCGTGTGCTATCTCGGAGGACGCTTCCCCTCCCTCTCTCTGCGTACATTAGCGGGCGCCAGGGATGGGCAGTATTTCAAATACAAGTATTTGAAATACGTATTTCAAATACTTTGTGTATTTTGCCTTTGTATTTAATTACAAATTGGGTAATGTATCTGACGTGTGTATTTAAATACTAAAATGTGGGTATTTCAAATACAATCGTAATTAAATACAATTTTGAGGGCGAAAATACATCTTGTTTTTATACATGTGGTTGTAAGATATAGTCTCCATCCTTTATTCGGCCATGGGGCTTTTTTTCTTTTCTCCTCCGGTTTTATTTTAAAGGCACTGTCGAGAGCAGGAAGAAAACTACGTTCTGCACCGAATGCAGTGTCTCTCAATCAAGCACAAGCGTTTAGTGATTTTCTGATTACGGTGCTAGTCCAGGGCAAGAATAGTGACGAAATCGACGTTCACAGGCAGACTGGCTAAATAAGTGCCTGTGACAACTTGTGATGCTTTCCAGCCTGATTTCCATCCATATTTTTGCCTGGAACATTCTAGATGCGCAGGTCGTCCAGATTTTTGTAACTCGTGCGAGTTGCAACAATAAAAAATTCTCTAGCTAGTGCTGCGCGTCTTGGTCGTCTCGGTTCTTTGTTGGTCTATACCAAAATGTAATCGACAAAAAAAAGCTGCTTGAAGCTCTGTACTTTTTTCACCTATTACGTCCAAGCTGATTACATTTTTTTTTTACAATATTTCTATTACGTTACTAGAGCCTTACACACTAACTCCCGAGCGTGCGATGCAAAATTAAAATGAGATACCCAGAAACCCATTGTAGGTGCCCTGAAGTCGCTAACATAAGTTTTGAGGAATGTATTTGGTAAAGTATTTGGAGGAGACCAAATACATTTGGTTTATTTGCATCTTGTATTTAAATGCTTTTTTGAAAATGTAATTAGATTTGTAATTAAATACATTTTTGACGAAGTATTTTGTATTTGTATTTCGATACATATATGCATGTATTTTGCCCATCCCTGGCGGGCGCTATGCTGCAGCTTAGAGCCGAGCGAGGTCACGTAATCTTTCCGCCGTAGTTCCTTCGGCTGCCACTTGGGGCTGCAGGTGGGGGGAAAAGCTCGACTTTTGCTTTGCGATTATGCAGCGGAATCGCGACATTTTTAAAAAAGGAAGTGTTTTCTCTATCCTCTGGGACACGATAAACAACGTAAAAATGACGAGATGCAAACTGTTTTAATCATAAAATCGTTGCACCGCCCCTTTAATTGCTACAAGTTCCATGCAAAGCATGCCGGTATTCTAGTCAGTTTGCGCTAATTTTGTTGCCCTTAGTTTTAGTTTTTCTTTTTGGAAAAAAAGTTTTTTGCAGGGAATTACGTGAGGGTTTTTTGAACACATAGAAGGCGATATCCAACGGTTTTTTTTTTCCTCTGTGCCATTGTTATATCGTCCTAGATATTTTAATTTTTCTTTTATTTTTATACATAATGAGTTTCTAATTAAGATTTTTAATACTGTGACAATTTTACTACACAAATGATAAGTTTCTGCTTTCTAGTATAGTCAGTCGCCGATTTTTATGGTTCGCTGTATATATAATAAACTTTTTTCGAAGAAAATGAACATCCAGATTTTTATTATTTGTATCATTCGCACGCGTAACAATTAAAAAAAATGAAATAATTAATTCTGCGAGTAATTTTGAAGTGTTTTATTAATTTTGTTTTGCGGTAATTATATAATGTAACTTATAAGGGTTACACTCGGGGACATATGAGATCGCTTCCATTCCTAAAATTGATTATTTTTGCAAGTTTTTATATTCCATTGAGAAAAAACATATTTTCGTAAACAACAAAATTTACCAATGAACCTTGTCCAGCTACAGGTGCTGATTTTATTGAGAGTACACATTTAAAATAGGATATGACTGTTCAGAACAGGGACAGCTCTTTTCAACATAAACATTTGTTTACTTTTAGTTTCGATGAACCAAATATATGACAAAATTGTTTATCCCCAAATAATTCTAATTACATTTTTTTTTGTAATATGTACAAAACTGCCTTTATGCCTTTATGATCTGAAACGGCCGAAAAGATGTGACTAGAGAAAGCTTCTACGTCCTTCTATACCTCTATGTAAACGTGTCGTACAAACAAATTTAGCGTAATGAAAATGCTCTACTCGATAAGCGAGGTATCGCTCGCAGAATTTAAAGGACTGTGATCACGCGATGTCATCTACATGGCGTGGTCATGTCACGTGACACCGTGGCGTTACGGTTTCACGTGACAAAATAACGTAAAGTCACCTATGCTGATCAACCATGTGACAGTCGTACGCAGTCTTCGTAACCGCGAATTAAAAACAAAAAAAAATGAAAGCCGTTTACAACTCCCTGTAACACCGAATTGGAGCGCAGCTCTTGAGGAGGAGGAGGGAAGGGTACTGAGGGTTACCTGTTCTCGGGGCGGGGGGGGGGGGGGGTCATGTGACCTCCCCCCCCCCCCCCCCCGCTAGGTTCCGCTAGGTTTAGTGGGGAATTTTTTCCGCTAGATTTAGCGGTGAAATTTTTCCGCTAGATTTAGCGGGGAAATATTTCCGCTAGATTTAGCGGGGAAATATTTCCGCTAGATTTAGCGGGGAAATTTTTCCGCTAAATTTAGCGGGGAAATTTTTCCGCTAGATTTAGCGGGGAATTTTTCCGCTAGATTTAGCGGGGAAATTTACCCATAATGCACCGCGCGGTTACGCCGACGGCGACGGCGACGCCGACGCCGCTCAAGCCGGAAACGGGCCCTTAAGAGCTGCGCTCTAAAAGCTAATGAATAAACGCCTAGCATTTTGTGTCGCCCGACCTAATCTGCTGAATTAAGATGCGTTCACTTTTGTCGTCGTCGTTGCAGTGTGCGAGAGAGGCTGGTACGGCAGGAACTGTTCCCAACCTTGCGTATGCAACGGCCACAGTTGCGACCCTGGGACGGGATCTTGTCGGTGTCCCGCTGGATTTGTCGGCCACAGGTGTGAACAAGGCAGGTGTCATTTGTTTCTCGTTCACAGCTGCGATTAGTACTGTCTTAAAGGATAACTCGATGCTCCGATTCCCCAGCGAGCATCCAGACAGTTCAAACAAGCAACTCTCGTAACTTTTGTTTCTTCTATTTGCGACAAAGTGCAGTTTGTACGAAAATTTTGAAGTTCGAAGTGTCACCTTTTCAATACATCTATCAAAATTGCAAACATGTTGTAAAAAAAACGGTTTTAATACTTTGAATGGGCCGTTTTTCTCATAAGAGTCCTGCACATGCGCGTTCTCTTCAAACAGCGGTAAAACCTCAAACTATTGTCGGTCGACGGACGAAAGCGGAAGTGACGGGAGCTCCGCGGAGCCCGTGGGGAGATGCGTTACCTCTCCTGCTCCTCTTCAAAAGAGCGCTACGTCATTATGCGCAAAGCAGTCTTCTCGGAAAGGAACGCGGTCGTCCCACTATATATGAGAGAATGGACATTTTTCCAGTAAGCTACCGCGCATGCGTACGCTCCCTCCCTAGGACTATACCTTCCCGCTGTCGCCATTTTCGTGGGCCACCGTCCAGCACGACCAACATTGTCAGCATCTGTCTTCGCGCGTATTTAGTCTATTTTGACACTTTGTTTTTTTAGTATCGATAGTATGGGGTATAAAAAGCACTGCAAACCAATACAACAACACGATGCCAATGTGTTCTGACGGGCGGAGGCAAGTTGGGCTGTCCCTCATTTGTAGTTCGCAGACCACTCCCCAGACGGCGCTGGTTACTCAAGAAAGGTCCATTGTAGGGAACATTTGTGTAACCCCGATACCTCGAGGCCGAGACGCAGCATCACTGTAAAACGGCGTGCCCACAGCTTGTTCTTGCTTGCGTCGCCTCAAAGGGCAAAAATTGCCATTCTTCTCGCAGAGGAAAATTAGGGTGAAACGAGAATTGACTGCTGGTGCCGCGGAGCAAGTCGATGACGCAAGTTGTCGCCCGTTCAAGGGATACTACAACGAAGTTTCTGCGCTTATTTCCTGATATATTCGTGTTCAAGGGATCAATATCACATAAGACACACCAATCTCCTCTTAAAAGAAAAAAACACAAAAAAGAATTTTAAGGTCAATTAAATTACTAGCAAAAAAACACCTGGTGGATGTTGCTAAAGCTTTGTTTGTAATGCACGTCTAGGAACCTTGGCAGGTAGTGACGATGCCTGTCTCACTTAGAACTTGTGGGAAATCGCGTGTTGCCGCCGATTCGCCATTTCCCACGTGGTCCGTCAACAACCCGAGCCCAGTCTGGTTCTTTCACGGGAGCGGGATTTCGCTCCCCGTTTATTGGTACAAATACACGCGACATTACACAAATATTTACAAACGCACGTTAAGCCAAGGCTAAACACAAAGAGGGTTCGCAGGCCTCGTGTCCCGCTATTGCCCGAGAGCAGTTGCTTGCACTTGCCTATCTTGAGCCCGCCCGGAGTCCTAAGAGGCTCTGCCTCTTCGCCCCCTGGTGCCCTGGTCGATCGATGGGCAAGGAGATTTCTCCCCGCCCGCCATGGGGCGCCTGCAGCGCCATCCAGCGGCTAGGAAAGAAGGCGGCACGTCGGGAACCGAATTCGAGATCCCGATCGACCCCGCGGCAACACGACCACTTGATCGTGTCTGAGGCGAGGCAACTGCATAGCCGCCTCACGGTACCTGGTTTGATGAGCGCCCCCGTGAATGCACGGTGCACCATAAACTATGCATACCTTGAACCTGACGTCATTCCGCCAGCTTTCTGGCCACCACAAGACAAATCAGCGGAATTTTCTTTTGTGTGTCCAGAACGTCGCTATTGTCCCTCTACAAGATTATAGAATATTAACCCGTCACTCAGAAATCATACAAAAGCAGCTTTGGGGTTAGTTGCGGTAGCCCGATTGCTGGCGTGCTTCGGCCGCTTCGGTGGCTGGAACGGCTAGAACATCCCGTCGAAGTCAGCCTTGCCGCAGCTTTGCTCGTCCTGTGAGACAATCTACGTCACAATTGCGCCGTATTTCACATGCTCTCTGCTGGCTGCTCTCCGAGCGCTAGCCAGAGTGGGCCGTTTATAACAAAAATACAGCCGTCTGGCTGAAAACGCAAAAGTATGATTGACCTTTACGGATATTGTGGATCATATATTCAGCCTATTTCTAAACACGACGGGTGTGTTTTAAATTTCGTCAAAGTATCCAAAGGGGCAGGGAAACAGAAATTTAAATATTCAAATTTCGTTCGGAAATGAGTCAAGCATGACGGATAATACCCGTAAATGATAATCGCACGTTTGTATTTTGAACGGCTGGCTATATTTTTCGTTCCAAACGGTGCACTCGAGAAAGCGCTCGAAGAGGAGCGAACGGAGAGTGCGATGCGTCATGGGATATCCGGCGCAAACAAAAACAGAAAGAAAAGATTCCCCGCATTCGTGACGTAGCAAGGCTTGCCCTTGCTGGCGTTGTCAGTGTTGTGGTGATGTCAATAGCGTCATTGCGTTACAACCGAGCCGTTTGAAGTGCCCGTGGGGTGACGAGCGTGTGACTGGCCCGAGGAGCACGTAGCTTCCACAATACTGTCAGCTTAAACAAGGTGGGGAAAGCAACTTTTGTTCGAGTTTCGAGCGAAGGCTAATCTTCTAGGGGGAGAATGGCTGTGTCCGGTTGCACGAACGAGGGTCCGAGAAAGAGGGGAGTGCTTCCTTTCCGTCTTCTTGGACCGTTTGGTACAATGCGCGATTTGTGAGTTGAGCTAGGAGGAAAGCTAAGAAGGAAAATGCTGAAATTCCAAAGAGCGGCGCTGCTCCGAAGAAATCTTTTACGTCACGACTACGTAGCAAGTTCCCCAACGTTGCTAGATTACCTCCCAAATAGGCTCCGCATGCATCCACCAGGTGCACATTGAAAGATTGTTTATTTAGCTTTAAGATTAGTTTTCTTGTGCCTTTCAACGGAAGGCTGGTTTTGAGGTTAGGGTGCAACATGCAACACATTCAAGCTAGAAATGAGCGCTGGAATTTCGTTTCCCTACCTCTTTAAAGGGATACTACAACGAAATTTCGGCACTCATTTTTTGGTCTATATGTGTTCAAAGGAGCAGCATCACATCGAACATACCAATATCTTGTTAAAAAAGTCACGAAAAGGAATCTTAAAACGAATTAAACGATTAGCAAAGAGCACCTGGTGGATGTCGCTAACGCCTCGCTTGTAATGCCCGTCTAGGAACCTTGACAGCTAGTGACGGAGGTTCTCTCGCCTCCGGCCACGACGAGAGAAGAGGGGAAGGAGGAACTCCCCTCTTCCCGAGAATGCCTTTTGTGTGTCGCAGAAGTCGCTATTGTCCCCCTACAAGATTACAGAAGATTATCCCGTCACTCAAAATTTGTACAGAAGCAGCCGCTTCGGTGGCTGGAACGACAAGGCCATCCTCGACGTCAGCTTCGCTGTAGCTTTGCTCGTCCTGAGACGACCTACGTCACGATTGCGTCGGATGTCACATGGTCTCCGCTGGGCCTTCCCCGAGCGCTTGCCAGAGTGGGCCGTTTATAACGAAAAATACAGCCACCAGGCTCAAAATACAAACGTGTGATTGTCATTTACGGATATTGTGGATCATATTCAACCTATTTTTGAACAGAACGGGAATATTTAAAATTTCGTTGAAGTATCCCTTTAAAGGGGTAGGGAAACGAAATTTCAGCGCTCATTTTTGAGTAAATTCTTTACTAGGGCAGAATTGAAAACCGCTTTTGCGTCATACTTTTATTAGTCGAGCTTTTAACTTCTAAGAGACCAAAGACGATACTCACAGGTCCCGTATTTGGGAGCTTCGCCAGACTCAGATACATTACGCACAAAAAACTAACTTTTTAGATGTTTTTTTAGAGCGCAGCTCTTAGGCGCCCGTTTCCGGCTTGAGCGGCGTCGGCGTCACCATTGGCGTCACTGTCGGCGTGACCGCGTGGTGCGTTATGGCAAACGTCCCATAATTCAACGCACGGGACCGTCGTGACGACACCAGTCACCCTCGTGACGTCATTTGTGACGTAACGAGGGTCACCGGTGACGTCACGAGGGCGACGTTTCGGCATGGTGCCGAAACGTCACTGCGGTGCATTTTGGGACGTCCGCGCGGTAAGAGGAGGAGGTGAAGGAGGAGGAGGAGCTGAGGTGGAGGGGGGAGGGGAAGGAAGTGTAGGAGTAGCAGAGGATGACGAGGTGAGGAAGAGGGAGGAGGTGTATACCCTTCCCTCCTCCTTCTCAAGAGCTGCGCCCTAGTTCGGTGTTACAGGGAGTTGTAAACGTCTAATTTTTTAGAGCTAACTCTTAGGCACCCGTTTCCGGCTTGAGCGGCGTCGCCGTCACCATCGGTGTAACCGTGCAGTGCATTATGGGATGTTTTCCATGATGACGTCACGAGGGTCACCACTGACGTCATAGATGACGTCACTGCGCGTTGCATTATGGGTAAATTTCCCCGCTAAATTTAGCAGAACTTTTTCTCCGCTAAACTTAGCGGAATATTTTCCCCGTTAGACTTAGCCGAAAAAATTTCTTCGCTAAATTTAGCCGAAAAAACTCCCCGTCATATTTAGTGGAAAATTTTCCCCGCTAAATTTTGCGAAAAAAATTTCCCCGCTAATTTAAAGGGGCCCTGCAATCATATTTAAGCGTCCACCTTTTTTGCGGTTTCCACGTCTCTTGGGGTTCGGGCAAGACGGCGGGCACAGAGAGAGTAACTAAATATCAGTGCCTCATATTTTAACCGGACGACGCGGAAACCTCCTCCACCGACGAGGGCGACCCGCGGTACCGAAAGCGCGCAAAATGTGACGTCTTTGGTCCAGGGCTTACTACTGGTCAGAGCCGCTAAAAGCTTCTTTTTAGTCGAAATACAAAATATAAGTGGCGCGAACCGTTTCAATTATTTATAAAATTAGTTTTTGTTCAGTATTTTAGATATGAAAAGAAACGAATGCAGTTCATT